CCTCTGAGCGATACAGAGCACGACACAAATTTTGCGCAAGGCTGGGCGATACGAAGAATCATGTCTTAAGTCAAGCTTGCTAAACAAGAGGTAGAGAGCTGAGGCCGGCAAGTGCACAAAAGGCCACGGGCGTGGATGACAACTAAATAGCCTAACCTCAGATAACTGGGACGAACACTACCATTGGAATAACTGGATCCCACTTGAGCGACAACCCTAATGTAAACGTGTCTGACTGCCCATGATTGGATAAGAGCATATCAATATAAGCCGCATTGGGGTATGGCTCCTGCGCGAAGTATTTGTAAATATAACAAACCACGGAGGCGATGTACCACAAATTCTCTCCAGAAATAACGATGAATGGTTTGCTGGAATACATCTATGGTTCAGCTAACTTGGGACTGATTGTTATTCCAGATCAACCGAACAACGTGAATCAACTTGCAGAAATCCGCTCTAACCGAGAGGAACCTCAAAATTATCACAACTCACAGACGACAACGGCCTCCCCATTGTTAAGGGTTCCCGACGACTTTCAGTCCCATCAATACATTGGTCACAAAGCACGCTTGCTGGTCCTCTTACGACCCTTGCGGAAAGGATTAACGGCAGTGAGGACAGGCTAGGAAAAGAACCCCTCCTCAATCAACATTTTCTATAACTATGTCAAAATCGACACTTTTGAGAAACCAAGAGAGAAAATGAAAGGCAGCAATAGCATGAGTATATGTATATAGTATATGCCGATTGATACAAATTATACAATGACGCGAGATAAGGTTGCTGGTGATCGCTTCTGCATGTGTAACAGATTTAGCTTGCCAATAATTTACATCAGACAACCGCCATGAGGTTCAAGTGGGGAGTGACATGGCCACTGTGAAAAGGAGGAGGATATACACAAAATTACCAGAAATGAGAGCCAGAAATAAGACGTGCAAGAGTGATACTGGCGAAAAAATTCACAATTTACAGACAAGCGGGGGAGGGCGTCAACAAGGAGTGGCGGAGGAGAAAGCAAGAAATTACTAGCTGGGGAAAATAAAGTATAAATATTTTTTGAACAGGTCGAACCAGAGCCGTGCATATGAACAGTTCACGCAAACAACTTTATGCATAAAAACCAACGAATAAGTAAACGCGGTGGTATCTAGTAAGGCGAAAGGTGCGCAATCTTTTCATCAAGTTAAAAACAGGGCTCATGGTGCATAGGAACTAACAGACTTGTTAAGAAACTATAAATTGTAGAAAATCCGATGAACTGTGGCACCAAAAATCAGGAAACCGAACCACGAGGGGGGCGGGACAAATACACTCACTGCAGGGTCGATACTGTACAACCTTTTGAAATAACGCCTACAAAACCTGTTTACAGGAAAGGGTGTGCATAAGCGTAGGGACGAAATTGACTCGAGAAAAGCCCCCTTTCTTTTCGAGCACAAACAGGCGGTCCAGAAAGTGGGAAGAAGCAGGAGGATGAAGGCAGGCACAGATAACAAAGCACTATACAAAAATGATACAGTCGTGGGGGGTGGAAAATAGGCGTTTGTATGTATATGTAGAGAAAGGTACATATGTATATAGTTTTCTTGCACTGGCAAGGTCCGGACAGAGGCAGGAAGAGAGAAAACTAAAATTAAGGGAGGTGTGGCAGGAAGGGGGGAGGGGTCGTCGTCATTGTCATCGCGACTCATTATTTCTCCAAGAAAATTGCGAAGTGACCATTTTCTGGAGTAAAGCTAGCCTAGGCTTCTACTGACTCCGGAGAATGAGCAAAGCCCTCCGCGGGGGAGCCTCCATTTATTTTGGCAACAAAGTTAGGAGGGGACGCGTCTAGCGGCTTTTGTGATGTAGTCGCACCGGTCACGTCATTCTCGCCGTCGTCCGGCTCGAAAAGGGTCGAGTTCACCGATTTGGCGGTGTACATCAGATGATCGTACGCGAAAGACTGGCCAAAACCATCTCCGGTGCCATCTTCGAAAGCCTGCGGACAACTGCCATTG